TTAAAAAATAAGAAATAAAATAATTATTGAATTATATCCTTTAAAATTATTATAAGTCATTTGATATCAATTTTTTAAAATTAGATAAATAAAATTAAATACTTATGTATAATTTATCTAGAATCTAGATGATGAGTTTGTTAATGAGCAGTTGACCACGTGTTACAGTGCTTTTGACTGAAAGCACAGTAATCATTATTTGACAGTGTGAGGATGCTTCCATGATTGAAATTCTAGTCAATTATTTTTTTCTCCTCTTTAATTTCAATATACCTCCAACAATTATTTATTAATGTTTCAAATTTAGAATCCTTCAAATGATAAAAAGTACAACAATCTATTTATATTACCTTCACCATTCTTGTCTTAACTATTTGAACTTAGTAATTCCTAAATAACGTTTACCTCCACCTGTCTTTTCTTATTAGCAAATGGAAAATATTACTTATATATGTTGTTGCTTGACTGATTGGCACATAGTTTAAAAAGAAAATAAGAATTTTTAAAATCTGTGAAGTAAAATAAGTCATTATGTAATTATAAATCACCTTTTAGTATCAAGAATAAGATGAAAATGAAAATAGAAACTATTATTTATAAATATAAAAAAATAAAAAAAATTCCATCCTAATTTATATGATATTCTTTCGCTTTTGAAATTCAAACCAACTTTCATGTGACCGTATTTTTTTTATGTTTTTTAAAATACTTTATAGTTAATTATTGTAATTTATAATATTTTTTATGTAGTTTTTTCAAATATATAAAAAAAATTTTAATGTTCAAATGTATGGTTAGAATAAAAAGTTTTTGACTCTCAAAATTCAACTTATGCCACATAAATTGAACAAATAGAATAATTTTTTTTGAGACACGTTAAAAAGGGAAATTATGTCACTAAATTGGCTAAAAGAGAGTATTCAATTACAATGTTAAATCCAGCCAGTTCCTGAATATAAGAAGGGAAAAACTTATCCGCACCGGGTGTATATATCAAATTAATGCAATTTTTATTATTATGTGATTTAATGAAGTAAAACACATGTTAATTAATTAAGATTAAGTAAAATGAAATATAGATTTAAATACATGACATGCACACTCGGTGAGAATACGTTTAAAAACAAAGAAGCCTATAGATATTAAATGATAAATATACTCTATTAAGTAATTTATATAGGCTCCACGTGAATCTTATTCACCTTTCTTTGTTTTGCGACTAAAATTTACTATCTACAAATCCATTAAAATCCTTTAATTTTCAGTACAGCTAAACTTAGCTTTAATTAAGTTCGACATGCTTATCAACACTAGGAAAGCCTGCAGCAAGTCAGCAACTACTTGTAAGTTGTAATATAATAATGAAGTTAATTAATTATTATTAATATATATAAATTACGTTCTGTAAACTAATTAAAGATTGTCCCTTGAGATACCATACTTGTTAAAGTCTTTTTAGTAAAGTGAAAAGTGCTTGAGACAACATTTAAACCGAAAGAACTTAAGTATGATTTGATTTCATAATGTTAAAAACAACTATAACACCCTTATCTTTTCCTTTTTCACTCTAACGTTTAGTAATTTATATTTGATTTTTTTTAACAATGATATCTGAATACTTTAGGATATTTTAGATGGACAATTAGTAATTTTAAATTCATGTATCTTTAAAAGGAAGTTTGAGATTGATAACTTAACCTTCTTCTGTAACAAATTAGCTGACTTTTTGGCGACCCAAGGAAGCAATCTGCCAACTCCTGCAGTACTTCAGAAGCTGGAAGCTGATAAGGAAGGTGTTCTTGTTAAGAAATGGGTCTCTATAACTACTAATGGAAATCTTAGTAAGTTAGGCAATCTAAGTGTAATCTACTCTGCTGTTTCTAATCAATCGCCTAGTGGTGATTCAATGGCTTCTGAGCCTTATGTAATTGACGCTACTATATAATATATATAAATAAATCTTTTATTGCCAAAAAAAAAAACTCAACCTTCTTTTTGGTTGTTGTATTTTTACACTATTTAAGTATTCTCATTTGTAATAAAAACTCTGTGGTGATCACAAAATACTTAATTCTCTTTATTTTTTATTTTTTTTATGCTTGTTAGTTAGTAGAAGTTTGTTACCTCATTAGGATTGATAAAGTAGGGCTTAACCTCCTTGCTTGAACTTATTCCTATTGTTTTTTTTTGTTTTTTTTAATAAAAAGCTGCTAAACACTCTATCTAGTAAATAATTTTATGAGATATTTGTAATCTTTTATCAAGATATTGTTAGGGTTTTGCTTTGATTTTCTTACCTTATTTGAAGTTTATTTTTTCCTAAAAGAAAAGACAAAACATTATCATAAATGTTTTTACTTTTCTAAAAGGAAACATTATTTTCTTCCATATTTGATTTATTTTGTCCATAGAGAAAAAGTTTGGAGATCTATAAATTGAAGATCTCTATTCTCATAACAGAACACAATGACATCCACAATGTAGTCGTTTAGAGACTTTTGTTTATGGGGAGATATATCTCAACAGTTTTAATATTATTCTTTTATATTAGTTTTCATATAATAATATTATGTTTTTAAAATATTTTTGTTATCTGATTTATCGTGTCTACAATTTATTATAAACTTTTACACGATACCCTAATTATTTTCGAACCCAACAACTACATATAAATTGACCGATTGTATTCTTATTGGTTCTCTTTGGCTATAAAAGACATGCATCGGAAAGATGCACAAAACCAACCCCAAATAAACATAAAGATGAAACATATATTGGCATCTAAAGTGTCGTATTTGCATCAGAAACACAGCAGTTTTCTAAGTTGAAAAAACCAAAACTAGGATGCTTGAAGGGTTGACCAAAATGCTGATTCGATTCGATTAGTGTTTTTCTTTTAAATAATAACAATTAGATATATATATATATATATATATATATATATAAATTACTAAAAAGGTGGAACAATCCAGCACTCCACTTGGTGTTGCCCAAATATTTATAATGATTTTGTACGATTTCATTTTGTTTTCTTCTTGTTAAACAATTATACATAATTTCAGTCTCCTATACTTTATTTGTTCTTATTATTGTGCTTTGAAGCTGTCACGTCTTCTTACGGTTGTGCTTCTTTAATATTTTTTTCCCTTTCAAGTATGGATATTTTAAATCTATAGATCCTGCAAAACATTGACACACACATGATTAAAAGTTAAAACTTATAAGTTGTCGTTAATGTAAAGCTCTTCTTACTAATTGTTTTACAATGTGATTAATGTAGAGTAAGAAGGATGGACAAGCAATATTATGTCTTAGGAACCATTAAAGATTATGAATTATGATTAAGCAGTAAATACTCATTTATTCTTAATCAAATGTCTCGAGTTTGAATCCTCTTGTTAGTTGTTACTGAATCGTCTTTGTTAATTGAAAGATGGAAAATCAAAAATACATATCGTGGAAAAAATTAATTGTACGAGTACCTTAGTTTCATTTTTCCATTTTTTTTTACACTGTGCCAGCAATTATATATGGTCAAAGTTCCACTTTTTTTTTTTTAACTATAAGAAGCAACTTTAGCGGTCAGCCTAAAAGAAAAGTGAAAATTACTCAACGGAAACAAAGAGAAAATTCCAAGCTTTTCTTTTTCATTAGTTGCTTAATCTATAGGAAATAATAAAACATTAATTATTAAAAAGAAATGACTCCTGAATTTTCCCTTCAATTGTTTCTCTTTTTTATAGTCCATTTATATTTATAGAATTGAATTTAAACTCAATACGTTTAAATTTCAGGATTTTATCATTTCAAAACTTTATGTTATTATAATTTTTAAATAAAATAACATGTATTGAGAGACCTCATAGATAATTTTTGTCGTTTTCATTGTTTTATTTTGGAATATCAAATTCTTAAGGGGTAGTTTGGTACGCGAAATGAAATAAGTAAGGCTATTCTATGAAATTATTTTATACACCTTCTATATAAGATGATAATAAAATAATCTTGAGATTAATTAATACCTCAAATCAAACATTGTATAAAATTAATCTCAAATTTTATTTCAAAATTACTGTCTTATTTCACATACGAAATAACTCCTTATGATACTCTAACTTATCACAAAACTAATAATCAAACATTAAAGAAATACAATACTAATTTTTTTATCCTAAATTTTGTTCAACATAAACACCTCTTTTTATTCTTATGCCTAAGCCTAACTAATATTCAAAAAAGGAATATTAACGAAATTAGGGTAAGGGCTGAAGATTTGGTGGATTAGACAGAAAACAGCTTTTACTAGCTAAGCTGATCCTTTGACTTCACCCATCACCGTTAAAAGCTAAATATTTCTATTGGCTGGACCCCACGTTACCACATATTTATATTATATTATCCCAATTTGATTTAACTTAATTAATTAATTTACTACTTTTTCAATCCAACAATAACTTAATTAAATTAATTTACTACTTTTTCAATCTAACAATAATGTACATTATTGATTTGATATAAGAATTAAGGAGTAATTAATGATAGAGGTAGTTTTATCAAATCACTCATATTAAATATAACTCAGCTAAACATTGAAAAATAATATAATGGATAAGTAAAAATGGTAAATTATTCATTGGTTTTATAAAAGGGATAAGCATGGTTGAATATCTCAAATAATATAGTGGATGAGTAAAAATGAGCGAAGGAAGTAAAATACACGCACACCAATTAAGAAACTACTAAAAAGTTAAAGAAATATTTTTACTAACTTACTTACTTATAATTAAAGGAAAATTAATTAATGATTCTTGATTATGTAAATAAGATTTATTTTAAAACAATAAAATTACTTCTTTCTTAAAACTCTAAAACACAACTAATTCGAAAGTATATGGTGGGGTTTTGTGTATGTAAAAGTCAATGTCATTTTCTCAGTGTTTGTTTAGAAGGGAAAATTATAAATAAAAAATGCATGTGTAGATACACATATACATACAGCCATATTATAGAGTCAATCTAGAGAGAGGAGAGAGAAAGAGAGCATTGGTGTAATCAATAGAGGTATGCTTTTGGCTCAGAACTGCAATTAATGCGCCTTTCATTTTGAGACTGTTGCTTTTAATTTGGCTTTAACCCAAAGAGAAAAAAGAAAAAAAATAAGCCTAGTGAGAGAGATAATATTATTATGGGAGTGTTTTTTTTCTTGTTTTCTTTCTGTTCAACTCTACTTTCAGGTGTCTTTGATTGAGGAGTAGCTGGAAGATATTATTTTTTTGGAGGTGTAGATTCTTCTTGTTCAATTTGTTTGGCATAATTTCTTCTCTTCTATATCTACATATATCTGCACTTTTGGGTGTCTTTATTTTGTGTCCATTTCTTGGGGATCTGCTTTCTTGCTTGCTTTTGGGTCTTGGGGTTTCTTCCAATTTCATTCAACTGGTTGACTTTCGATTTGGACGTTGTGGGGTTTTACAAAAGTCGAGTCTTTGAGTATTGTGGATCTTAACTTCATTCTGGGTTTTCTTTCATGTGTTCTTCCTTTTTTTCTTCCATCTCTAAAATGTCAATATGAATTTCTAGATTCTTGTTTCTTTGAATTTCTCACATCAAGAAACTGAAATTGATTGAGAGGGAGTGATTCAGTCAAAGATTATTTGGGTTGTCTTTTTTACAAGGTGGGTTGTCTCAATTTTGGAGTGTGAATCTTGAAAAAAAGAAGGTAAAAATTAGGGTTTCTTGGTCCATTCTGTATTTTTTTAATCAATTCTTTTGATACTAGTATCTGGTCTTTTGTGTTTGAACGGTTTTGTTAAAGTTAATGCTTTGGGACTTTCCCTCCTTAAGTTAGGGGCATTTGATTTTTGAAAGCAAAGGTTTGATTCTGGGGGATGCTTTTAGCTTGATTCCTTTGCTTTTCCAGAAGTTAGGGTTTGTGACTAAGCCATCTTTTTCTGGGGTTTAGTGATAGATGGGGTAAAAACTCTCTCTTTGTCTTTCTTTGGTGAAGCTTTGTTCAGTCACTCTCTTTTTTGGGTTCTCTCTGTGATTGATTCAACAAGGGGGGAAAACTTCCCACACAAAGAAAAAGCTCTAATGCATCTTTCACTATGGAAGCCAATATCTCACTGTGCTTCTCTAATCTTGGACAAAAAGAGCAGAAAGAGAGATGGGTCTAACCATACCAATGAAGAGATCAAGAAAAACCCATCTGCTCTGAAGAAGTTGCAAGAGCATAAGCTCAGGGAGGCTCTTGAGGAAGCATCTGAAAATGGGTCTCTTGTTAAATCCCAAGATGTGGACTCCCTGTCAGCACAGAACCAAGATGAGGGGTTGGGCCGATCCCGGTCACTCGCTAGGCTACATGCCCAAAAAGAATTCCTTAAAGCCACTGCTCTTGCTGCAGAGCGCACTTTTGAATCTGAGGAATCCATTCCTGAGCTGGAGGAAGCATATTCCAAGTTCCTGACCATGTATCCAAAGTACAACTCCTCAGGGAAGATTGATGAGCTAAGGTCAGATGAGTACTCTCACCTTTCTGGCTCTATACCCAAGGTATGTCTTGACTACTGTGGGTTTGGGTTGTTTTCATTTCTTCAGAGTGTTCATTACTGGGAGTCATCTACATTTAGCCTGTCTGAGATTACTGCCAATTTGAGCAATCATGCTTTATATGGGTGTGCCGAAAAGGGCACCGTGGAACACGATATTAAGGCTCGGATAATGGATTACTTGAACATCCCTGAAAGTGAGTATGGTCTTGTTTTTACTGTTAGTAGGGGCTCTGCTTTTAAGTTGTTAGCTGAATCATATCCTTTCCAGACAAACAAAAAGTTGTTGACTATGTTTGATCATGAGAGCCAATCAGTTAACTGGATGGGTCAGTGTGCCAGGGAGAAAGGTGCCAAGGTTTATAGTGCATGGTTCAAATGGCCTACCCTCAAATTATGTTCAACTGATTTGAGAAAGCAAATTTCAAACAAAAAGAGGAGAAAGAAAGATGCAGCTACTGGTCTCTTTGTTTTTCCAGTACAATCTAGAGTTACTGGTGCAAAGTACTCCTACCAGTGGATGGCACTGGCACAGCAGAATAATTGGCATGTGTTGCTTGATGCTGGTGCTCTGGGTCCAAAAGACATGGATTCCCTAGGATTGTCTTTATTTCGACCGGACTTTATAATCACTTCATTCTACAGGGTGTTTGGTTATGACCCAACTGGATTTGGATGTCTTCTGATCAAGAAATCTGTGATGGCAAGCCTTCAAAATCAGTCTGGGCATGCTGGGTCTGGTATAGTGAAAATTACTCCTGTTTTCCCCTTGTATTTGAGTGATTCAATTGATGGTTTCCCTGGATTGGCTGAGGACGATGAAGCCGGAGAGAACAGTGAAGTTAATGCTGAAATTCGGCCAGGATCTCAGTTGCCAGCCTTTTCTGGTGCATTCACTTCTGCTCAGGTAAGGGATGTATTTGAGACAGAGATGGAGCATGACAACAGCTCTGATAGGGATGGAGCAAGCACGATATTTGAAGAGACTGAAAGCATTTCTGTTGGAGAGGTCATGAGAAGTCCAGTCTTTAGCGAAGATGAATCATCTGATAACTCCCTGTGGATTGACTTGGGTCAGAGTCCTTTGGGTTCTGATGGTGCTGGGCAGTCTAACAAACAAAAGATTTCCTCTCCAGCACCCCCATTTTGGTTTGCTGGCAGGAAGAATAATAAAAGGCTCTCTCCCAAGCCTTCGAAGATGTCAAGCAGCCCATTGTATGACAGAGAGTTGAATCCAGGGCGCCATGAAGACAACCATGTGCTATCATTTGATGCAGCTGTTCGGTCGGTGTCTCAAGAATTGGATCACTTCAAGGAGATTCCTGAAGAAGACCAGTTTGATAAGAGAAGCCCTGCTTCAAGAGAATTCAGAGAGATTGAGGAAGAACTGGAGACCAGTAAACCTGCTCACACATTTGATTCTGGTCTGGGCAACTCAATTTCAATTTCTCGGCATCAAACCCTTGATAATGGATCAGCCTCTGAGATATGTCCGGAGATCAAAGAGAGTGCTATAAGAAGAGAAACTGAAGGTGAGTTCAGGTTATTGGAAAGGAGAGAAGGAAACAGATATGCAGGTGGTAGATTTTTTGGTATAGAGGATGCTGATCATGGAAGCAGGGGAAGACGTGTATCCTTCAGCATGGAAGACAACCGCAAAGCTCGTCTGAGTCACACACTTGAGCATGGGGAATTGTTAGCAACAAGTTTGGATGATGACGAGTTCATTAGTGATGGCGATTATGATGATGGACAAGACTCAGACAGGAGAGAGCCCGAGATAGCATGCAGGCATCTTGATCACATTAACATGTTGGGTCTCAATAAAACTACTCTCCGGCTAAGATATCTCGTCAATTGGCTAGTTACCTCATTGCTTCAGATAAGATTTCCTGGTTCAAATGGGGAAGACAGTTCACGACTTGTTCGCATCTATGGTCCGAAAATCAAATATGAAAGGGGCGCAGCTGTTGCATTTAATGTGCGAGACAGAAACAGGGGTCTTGTTAGTCCTGAAATAGTTCAGAGACTGGCTGAGTCACATGGTATTTCTCTGGGCATTGGTATCCTAAGTCACATACGGATCTTAGATAACCCAAAACAGCAGCAACGGTCTCTGAGTCTTGATGACACTACCCTTTGCAAACCAATGGAGAATGGCAAGTATGATGGTAGAAGTGGGTTTGTGAGAGTCGAAGTTGTTACTGCTTCACTTGGCTTCCTCTCTAATTTTGATGATGTCTATAAGTTGTGGGCTTTTGTGGCTAAATTTCTTGACCCTGGTTTTATTAAAGAAGCTGGACTCCCGCCTGTTGCAGAAGACGTCGAGTCATGAAGCTACTAAAGGAAGGCTGAATTAGTAGCTGTTTGCTCCTAATACAAGATGCAGGAATCTATCACCAACAGTGGGTTGAAAATCTGATGAAAGTTGCAAGAGAAACAATGAAAAGGTCTTAGTTGTATTCTTCTGGCCCCTCTGTTTCTTTGATGCATGCGGGAGAAATTTTTTTATTCTTGTCTTTAATTGCTTGAATGTTTCTTCTTTACCTTTTTGGAGTTTCCTGTAGAGTTGGGAGTTAGAAATTTGTATTTTCTCAGGTAGTCATGAATCATGATGAACCAAAGCAGTTATAAGCCAGGGGTTTTATGATCCCCTTCCACCATTTGCCCCTCTTGCTTCTCAGCTGTGTATAATGATCATTCATGCTTTTGCTCAGGCTATTATAGAGTGCCTTGTCCTTTGTTCTTGTTATCAGCATAATTTTGTGGAAAAAGAATTATTATTCATACTGCCCAGTTTCCCTTGAATGATTTTGATACCCTTTGGATGTTGAAGTTCATGGTCACTTGACCATATTCCAAGTTGTTTAATCAAGTAATTACCTTGAGAGAGTTGTGCTTATCTCAATAATCGGCTCGAAAACATGTCTTGGATTAATACAGAACTGATGTTATTAGGCTGTCATACATCCATTTTTTTGTTTGTTTGTTTATATTACTATTGATTTTGGATGATGTAAATTTCAAGACTTACATGAGAGATTGAAAATGATTGCCATTTTTGACAAGATCATTCTTTTAAACATTGTTTGACTCGAATGTTTTATATCCAGATATGATAAGCATCTAACTTAAGTATGCTTTAGCTTCTTTTGTACATTCTCAATGCCCCTTGTTCTCCCACTAAATAAACCATAGAGAAAAGCAGTGGTATGATTTGAAGTAAATGGGACCTTCAATTATCAGTAATGCTTAATTATTGTAGCTGGGCCACCACCCATTGTGTTTTGTTTGCCACACAGATAATACTGAGTGAGGTCTTATATCATTGTAGTACTGATCTTTTTCTTTGAGTTTTGTAGATTCTGCTTTTCCCTTAGATGGAGGTCCCAAAATTGAATGGGACCTTGCTAAAAAAAGTACCTTTCTTTGATGGAATAATTGTGTTTGATTGACTGAAATGTCTCTTCTCTTCATCGTCAGATATAAAAACGAAACTGCCCAATGTTACATGCAAACCATTTATCCTATCAATAATATAATTCAATGGAGTACATGTCAATCGGTCATAATGTCTTGTCTCAAACATATTTAAGATAGATTAAACTAGTTGTATGAATTATAAATAGTCAATTTGCTCTTTACAAGTTTATTTTATTCAAATACTACTAAATAACTTATTATCTAAGGCAAATAAAAGATTCTATTAACTAGTTGTAGTTCTTTATACGTCATAGTTACTAGTAGTTTCTGACTAAACTAAAAGAGTTTCGGATTCACAAATTATGACTATTTTTATATTTTACCAACAAATGGAAATCATCCACAACAATTATTTGACTTAAAATAAATCTAATCAAAATCGATAATGTGTGTGTATATAAATCCTTCCTAATATGTTGTATTCAGTTATCTGTTTAATTGTTATTAATCTGGTTTTGTGTATCGTCGCAAAGAAAAAAAAGACACAATGATAGTAAAGATGTAGCCACGTCAGACAAAGAGGTTGACAGAATTTGGTAGCTAACCTCGTTGAAGAGACATTTTCATATTTGGAAGGTTAGTTGAAGCGTTGACAAATTTAGACACACTAACAAAATCCAAGTGGCACCTGCGATGTGTATTCCAGACTAAACTACTCACCACTCACCATTATCTTTAGCAATAAGATTAATACACAATTTTCATCTTAATCTCTTCAACAACAAAATCCAAGTGGCACCAGCAATAAGATTTTTTTCATATATTTGTTTATTTTTTAATATTTTAAACCCCTTAATTCTGATTCTTCCGTTAACATATGGACAATTGAAAAAAAACAACCTAACTTATTTTTCTTTTGTGCATCCAAAGGGATGTATTCCATAAAGTTAGTCAACTTTATTGACAGCTAGGCAATGCTCTTGAACGCAATCAGACCAAATCACTTCTTAATAAGTCTTGTCATTCATCAAAAACAAGAGCCACCGCGCTTTTCAATAACAACAACTCTAATAAGTTGGACAAGAATGTGGCAAGTAAAGACTAAAGGAGATTCTCCTCATGGAGAACACCTTTGCTGTAAAGGGCAAGATTAGTAGGAATATTCGTTAACTGCTTACTACAATCTGGCTTCATATGGAAGGTGAAAAAATAAGTTTGAGATCACATGGTACATAAACTTTTCTACAATACATGAAATTAATAAACAGAGCGAAAATAGCTATGATTCCATCATCTTAATAAGGAAAGCTGTCTCCAGCGCTGACTCCTTGCAGTGCAGGTATCGATTTTCTTCAACTATATCAGCTGTCAAATTAAGTAATACTGGATGTTTAGGATCATAGATGGAACATTCACGCACCCGAGCAACATATTTTGCAGCTTCCCACACTCCAAACCTGAAAAATCATGCAAGATTATTGGGAGGCCCTTACAACACAATGAGCTGCAATTATTCAACACAAACCTATGCAATTATTCACACTTAATTAATGACTTTGGAGCAATTCTTGGTAACCCATGTAAATGGATGATGATGGTTTCAGTCAATTTACACCTTGGAATAATTCTTGGTGGATCAGGTTCATTATAATACATGGTCCATCCTAGTAGTCGATCATAGCACTGTAGCACATGAGCGGTGCTATAAGGAAAAACACCTAATATGGGTGGATAATATTGGAGCTTGTTTAGCACTCGTTCCACCTAGAATTATCAGATGCAGAGTAATCACATTGTAAGCTCGGAAAGTAAATATCAAGGGGACAATCAACCAAGCTGGTAAGCAAATGATTTTCCAGGGATGACCGCAGAGTGATGATCTCCAAGTAAAAAGTTAAACTAAAAGCAAAGTCCCATTATAAGATGGAGTGACTCCTATAGTTTGTTGTAAATCAATCTTCAATTGATAGGGTAAAAGACATGGCTTTAGACAATGACCATATATTAGTCACCTTGACAAGAAGGTTTAACAAGCCAGAGGAAGTCATTCAGTCAGCAAAAAATTAGACCTTACCGTGTGTTGAATGAAGATGTCACCAGAATAGCTGGATATAAAATATCTTTTTGAATGTTATTGTAAGGTGAATATTTGCGGATTGCCTGAAAGTCAGTAATGTCCCCGGGGTACCCAAACTCATCATAGTCAGCAGGTGTAAGCGGTAAGATTGGATTGAGGAGAGTGTTTGTTGGATCCAAAAATGGTACCTGTAAAAAAGGTAGTCAACATTTTCACTAACATCAAAAGAGAGGATAAAATAAAAGCAGAGAATTTAGTAATAGTTTATCTTTGTTTTTCCATCCTTTCCTCTCCTTGTTGGGGTGGGGTTTGGGGGACATTAGAAAGATTAAGGATAAGAAAGATTTTAAGGATGCATAAATGCAATAGCACATTCAGAGTTTTTGGCAGACCTCCAAAACTGCTGCCCGCAATAGACTTGGGCAAGAATTTATAGCTGAAGCCACCAATAGCCCCCCAGCACTGTAACCCCACCCAGCGAGCTTGTTATCTTGCACAATTTCCCTCTCAATTAGGAATTTAGCACAGGATATGTAATCATAAATGGAATTGATCTTCTTTGTCCGCCTGCCATCATGGTGCCACTTTTTCCCCCCACCTCCTCCACCTCTGAGAACAAAGACAGTAAAAAGGTCATGTCAAGCACTAGTCATTGACATATCAACATAACAATATAACCTGTCTTAACTTCATAGGAATAGGATATCTATAAGATATGGACTAGCACCATTATAGAGAAAAAAGTAATTTTAGAGCTACATTACTAAATTGGACAAAGAAAGAAAGCACCTGACATCAGCATATGCAATTACCCAACCACGATCGAGAAGGCTTTTTAACTCACTGCGCCATCGTTTGTCCAGTATCTCTCCATAAGCTCCATGTCCATGAAGTAATCCAGGATTCTCAGCTTGCTTTTTCCTCTTTGGAGAATAGACAACAGTCAAAGGAACAATAATCCCATCATAAGACATGACATTGTGAACTTCACAGGCATAGAACTCAGAAAGATCATTCCATGTAGAATGATTTTCAGGATTGACTTCGTTATTAGAGCCTGAATTCCTCGCACTCTGAATAAAACTAGCTGAAGATGATGTTCCGTACAACACTTTTGTTCTTTCATGAAGCAAGTTTTGCTGCTGTACTATGTTCCATTTTCCATTTGATAAGTCATAATCGACAACTGCATCAGGCATCTATAAACAGTGTGAGTTTTAGTTAAAGAGTGCGATTTGGGGTGCAAAGTGACCTTGTACGATAAAATATGTGAAATAAATTAATATAAAAGGTGACAAGTACCTACCAAAGGGGATGATATTGTGAATCGCATTGTTGAGGAGTAGAAGTCATAATTAGTTCCAGGCTTAATTTGAGAGACATTCTTTGGAAGAGGCAAAGACTGTGGACTGATCTCTTTGAGCTTAATCTCTTCCTGTCCAGGAAAAATTGGATAAGAGAAAGGGAAGGAGGAATATAACAGTTGTAAGCAATTCATGAGAAACACACACTGCTGGTCAAAGACAAATATTAAGAGCAAAAAAAGAGAAAAACAGGCAAAATATCCATTTCAAGCAATAAATGCACATCACGTCGCAAAATTTATGAGTAAGAAGCTATAATGTAAAATGTGTTTCGAACTTATTTCATGACTCAGTAGGTTGCCTAAATGCTGGTTCATTAATTTTGGCACAGAGCAACTAAAGGGAACACAAATATCTAAAACAAATGTTGCACTTATAAATAGCAACTATAAACAGTCTCTATGGGCTGTTTACTTCTTTGTAAGGGTAGAGGGAGGATGGGTTGATCATCAAGGTTTTGCTTGTTTAAGGTTTCTGCAGCAACTATACGCTACAAAAGAATTAATCTAAACTAAAATTTATAGAGCAGCGGAAATCTTACACAAGCAAAGTAAATAACTTCAGGTTGGAAAAACAGAATAAGTTATCAGAAGTAAAAACCAGGACCAAAATAAGTTATTACCTTCATAATTGGCAGAGGAAGAGAAATGGGACAAAGTCTAAAATTTCGTTTGTCCCGCATAATGAGCACCAAGTGCTTGTCACTGAAATCAACGTCTTCAATTATGAACTCCGAGTCATCACTGAATATATTCTGCATTCTTGATGAGAAAGTTATGAGCCAAAGGTCCCATCATGAATGAATATTATGCTTTTCAGATGAAAGGTTATTCAACTAGAAGAAGGTTAGATGGCAGTTGGCATGGGAGGAGAGACATTTAGAAGTAAACATGATAAGAGTCTCAATACAATACAAACTCACCTCCCACTTCCTTTTGTTCAGTGAGCAGTTAACTGGACTACGTAAAAGATAATGGTGATCAACTAATTGTCCATTTTTAGCCGCATCAGTAAATAGGTAAAGATACCCTTGGTGATGCTCGACAACACAGTGGGCTTGAGCCTCACATTCCCACACAGGTATCATACCAGACAAAGGATCAGCAGCATCTATCAGAAAAATCTAAAAACTAGTCATTGACATAAAATTAGACTAACATCAAGTGATATAAAAATTAGAAAGCTTGATAAAGTATCACCTTAGATGATGTAGTTGAGAATATATGTACTGTTAGAAACTGGAAATCCTTAGTATGTCTTATGTTTACATAGCCATTCTCGCTAGGCTCTTCTATAAGCAACACGTCATCTTGTTCAGACCCAATCATACTACAGTAGATTCTGAAAGAAGAATTGGAAACAACTGACATATCTGGAGTATGTCAAAAAGAGTCTTTTAACCAAATAAGTAAATTACCAACCTATAAGGCCTCTTACAGTGATCAGTGACAACATAGAGTAATGCTTGTCCATCTTTCCCCCAAGCTATGTTTGAAACCCGATCTGCTTGGGGCTTACTACATAGTGAACCGAAATTTAAGTCTCGCACAGACAATTTAAAGCAATCGTTATCCTTATCATACATTGTGTATGCTAGATATCGGTGATCAGGGGACACTTCTGATAATTCTTCATATGCATAACCTGTAATTTAACAAAGGAAAGGGTTGTACACTATGAGTAAAAAGAACCATAAAATTAGCAACCACTACTACTGCACCAAACCTCAACTCCAAACTAGATAAGGTCAGCTATATAAGTCCTCAACAAACATTCCACTCTGTTTGAAAATCAACATAAAATAAGGTAGTAAGAAAAAAGCAAAACCTCCAAATCTTTCAGCTTCTTCATTGTAGTCAAGAAGCTTCTGCTCAATTCTCTTCCCCGAAGTAAAATCGAAACCTGCTGAAGGAGATTTATTGGAAATGAAATCTTCATTCGCCCGTGCTAACCTTCTACACAGCACTGGATACTGCTTCCCTTCTTCCACTCGCCTATAGTACAACCTGCGGCGACCAATATCCACCTCCATAGAGTAAACACAATTATCACATTTCAGAATCCAAACAACAACAATAGTACAATACAACAACAAAAAATGTGGGGATCTAAATGCAAATAAATATCTCAATAAATAAGAACAACAACTACTATGCTTCAATTCTAAACAATGAATTCTGCTCGATTCTAACAAGGAAATTAAACGGACGAATACCAAGGACCCCAACGAAGGGGAGGTGTGGAGAGTTCATTTGACAAGCGAGAGCCCATTTCCGACTGAAGTTTGGACTGGAGGCGTTCGGTATCGGACATAACGGCTTCAATGTATTTCTCCTCTTGTTCCATGTACACATCCATATGGCGCATGGCTACTTTGTCATTGAGCTGTGACATCCAGCTGTAAGGGTCCTCCCATGACTCGCCGTGATGGGTGAAAGTCACCGGCTTTTTAGGAGGTTTTGGAGGAGACGGTGGTGCTGGCAGTGGTTGAGGCTTCTGCGGCTTGTAATTTGCACAGAAGATGGAATGGATACGCGGCGTTATACGGCGGTGATTTAGCTGATTGTGGCGGAAAGAGCTCAAGAGGTGGCGCATGGTGGTGGCGGAGAAATTGGGGTTCAGGGTTTAAGCACTATATCACCATTTTATTAAATTGAATACAAAAGGACCAGAATGCCCTTCATTTAATTTTTTATCAAAAAATGCTCATGAAGTATGGAGTCTTCGCCCTATTTTTTTTTATTTTTATTTTTGCGAGATGGACTTCACGTTACAACAGGAAACTCAAAAAAAATAAAAAAATGGATTCAAATTTCAGTAGAGACAAACCAATAAAGGTTGATTTCTTTATATCTATCTATTTGTTTAATATTTGGAGAATAGAGTTATTTGATATTTGTATTGACGAAAGATAACACGTAATTATGAAATAATTAAGTTGCAGTCAATTTTATTTTTTTTGTTGATGAAATAGTTGACGTTTGATGAAATTTGGTTTATCAAATGGAGAGAGAATAACGTTGGTTTAGATTTCATCAATTAGCTGGCTATTTTCTATTACACTTGCGCTGATGAAGACTTGTCTTTAACATTTCTACGGTTGTTTGATTTGCATGAACATTTTATGTGTAGCATTTTCATACTCCCTCTATCCCAATTTATATGACTCACTTTCCTTTTTAGTCAGTCTAAAAAAAAATGACACATTTCTATATAAAGTAACAATCTAACTATAAAATATCTATTTTACCTTTAATGATATGATTTACAATCACACAAATTTCTATCATTCATTTTGGACCACAAGTTTTAAAAGTCTTTCTTTCTTTCTTAAACTCCGTGCCGAGTCAAAGTAGTATTTACAAAATATCTTTCATTAAGATATATAATTTTCACAACTCCTAAAGTACTTGACTAGAAAAGGCACATAAAATGATTACTTCATAGAATAATACTGAATAAACTTGTTGAAATCTCAGAGATTAACATTGACAAAACAAGAAAACATAATAATTAGGTACTTTTAGTTTGTCCAGGACTGAAATCTGAAGTACATAACAAACTTAAGTCTCAAAAAACAAATCAAACATGTCAAGGTAAATAAACATAGGAGTAGCAAATCTAGAGTGGTCTCATGATCTCATTCTCAACAGGATATATGTAAACATCTAAAATAACTGGCTTTGAGTCGTGTTTTCCTCCTTGAGCAAGCTCGAATACACAAATATCGAACTCCTCCAAATCATTATCCATAGCAAAATCATCCCAACCTGACTGAATCACCAGTCCTTCCATTCTGCAACGAATTGAGGCCGACCACGTTCTTCCACTTGAAGGGATTCTCAGAGTAATCGTCTCAGATTTCTTCCTCATGTTCTTTTGTGCCCATTCCTTTGGGAGTTTCTGGTATTCAACAAACAAGATTAACCAAAATAAGCTCAAAAAACACAGGACTATTAGCTAAGGCTTTTGCTAGTATATCATATGGTACTAATGTGAATATGCAGAGATAAATCAACAGTTGTGGCATGAACATTACACAATTACTTCAGCTAATGTTATTATAAACAGAAAGGACTTCACTTGCGATGCAAAGAATAATTACGCTATCCTGTATTGTATTCTAATTTATTGTTGTCAGAGGCAGATTCAAGATTTGAATTTTATGGGTTCTCTGCTTCTCGCAACCTCATTGCAACCAAACCCCTAATCCATTTATGCTATTACATTCACAAATCATTATATGTACATATATAACAAAATTTTCAACATATATAAGAGGATCTAAGTTAAGGCTACTAGTTTGAACTTTAGAAAATACCAGTTGACCCATGTAGACATGTGTGGGCTGCATTGTCATCAGAAGAGAAGGCACAGAAGATGTGTGTCTTGACGCCAGTTGATGAACTTTCATCTTCTCTTTCTCCAGAACCCGGCGTCTGCTTGAGAACATAGGCCTTTTTTCCTCTGAACTAACAATTTTCCCAAATCAGAATCCAACAATGTAGACAAACTTCAAAGAATAAAAAAGCAGTTGAAAGAAGAGGTAAGTAAAACTTAACCAGGTTCAACATTTTTCTTGCGAGATGACATAGGTGTACACTTCCTTTTCCTATTGTCCTGCTTGGCTACCAAGATTTTCTTCATTTTCTTCCCTTTACTAGACTGAAGTGACTGGAACTGATACTGTTTTCCACGCGACGATTTGCGCCCTCTCGTAGGCTCTTGTATGTTTTCCTCCTCATCCGTATCATCATCCTCATTTGAAGTTTCATCTTCACTACTCTGTTGCTCAGTTGTATGTTCATCTGTTACTTCATCTGGATGTTTACAAGGGTTCCTATTTTTCTTGACAAAGAAAGTAGTCTCTTTTTCACAAGCACTTGCATCAAAAATCATGACATCAAAAGCTGAAAAACCATCCATTTTGAACACCAACATATCAGCATCTTCCAAGCAATGATCTTTGACAAATACTTCCCAGCCATTACAGAAAACATAATCATCCTCCTCTGTTCTAACAACTTCAACTAACCATGTATTGCCACTTGGACCTGTTAGAATCTTCTGGCCTAACAGTTTGTGACTGTTCTTAAAACAAGTCACAAACTTTTGTGGAATGCGCTGCATTAAAGAATCCAAATGTATCAGCTATAAATTCTTAAGTAAATCAAATTTTAAGAAATCTGAGAGAACTTACCAATCTACGCCTGAAATCATTGATCATTATCTTGAAAAACTTGTGTTGTTTGTCAAACTCTTCCCAGTACTTTTGTTTCTCAAGAACTTTGCATCTTTCACAGATGGTAGCCATTCTCTTTCAACAAATTTTTTGAGTAAGAAAAAATGTTTTGAAGGATATGAGAGTTAAAATTAATGGACCACTATTTAGGGGGTGTTTGTTGGTAGTATCTTTTTTACGTCTCATACTAATAAGCTACCATTTCTAGTTTATGTTGAAATCTCTTTACAGCTTTGCAGAGCTCAGTATTGCCTTAAGAGTACAAAGAGTCAAACATGGCTCGAATTAGAAACTGGCACTTCATATGAAAGGAACTTATTTTGTTCCTTATTTCATAAGGGGAGCACCATTTCAGAATTTGCCATATGATACAAATGGAAATTCAGAGTTTTCATCTCTGATTTTATATTTTGCCTTATGAGGAAGTATTAGATGGCTTTGATCATAAAGAGGGGTTAAAGTTTTCACATTATACTTAAATTTTAATGCCAATAGTACTCATTTTCATAAAGAAGATTTTGACGTGTTAAGCAATAACACTGGTTTAAATTAGTCTCTCCTTGGCTATAATAGGTGAACAGATCAGTTGCAGTGAGACTAGCAATTCTTGGCTATATGTGATTGGATCAAAACAAATTAACTTAAGGGGATATGATTTAAAGTCAGAAATTTTATTTGGACATATAATTTTTTAATTTCTTAAGTTGGTATTTTTTTTTCTCATAAAAATGAAAACCTCGCAATTTATGAAAATTATCAAAAAATTAATTAGCAAGCATTTTCCACTCTAATTTGATTAAATACTATATTCTACAATTTCATCACCATCACCGAGGGCTACATACTACAGTATATTACAAAAAATTGCCAAGCAAAAGTTATATATTTCTTGTTCTTTAATTGCACAAAAGAACCTACCAGATTAGCCATTTACAAGCCTATTCTGTTAAAATAAGTGATTTTACTCATCCATTGGCAAACGTCTTTCAGTCATCTGGTCGTCAACTCTGCTTTGTTCTCTTCTTTTACCAACATATCAATATCTACAAGTAACACATCTTATGGACATAACTTTTCTTTCAAAAAAGAATACTTTTGAAGCTCTCATGTGTTCAAGGTGAGAAAGAACTTGCATCAGTGCTATAAAATGAGTACTCACTCAAGCTGAAGTTTAACCGCTCTTCGTCCCACTTGATTATCTCCCTTGCATACTTGAGCGATTCATCCACCGTTTTTGGCTCTAAACCTTTCACTAGTGAAACATACAGCTTCTTGTTAGTGAGAGAAGAAAGGAGCCTCTTGAATTTTACTGCAACATGATGAAATGCCAACTGGCCCACAGAGGGGCAATGGTTGATGCTGCTGGAGTTGCTATTGGAGCGATGACGACTTACGAGCGGATGAAAATCGTCAAACCATTCACATTTAGTCAAAGGAACACGTTCTAACTTCTCCTCAAACGAATCAAACTTATTTAGTAAGACAAGAAAGTCCATCTGATCAAAGGTTGGATGAGTCGCGATGCTCTCGAAAAGTTTCTTGGTTAATAGCATCTTGTTCACTTTCTCCCCAGTTTCATCAACAACATATTCATCATAATCACTCAAGGCAACACAGAAAATAACCACACGAACGTCTTCAAACATCTCAATCCACTTGCAATTTTCAATGAACCCCCTTGCCTGTACTCTTATCAGCTGAAATCTGAGTACCAGGAAAAAAAAAATTGTTTTAACAATGCCTCTACATAGTCTGTAAATGACGGGTTATAATAACTTTATTTCACCCTATTTTCATTTATGAGGATCCTAAAATCAACTATCTGCATAGAAGGGTTCTCAAACACAGACAAATAGGAAAATCAGGAGGATTAGCTACGTGAGAACCCAGCCCAATGGTTGACTTTCAGTTCTCATATCAAATACTTCTAATGGACCCAAGATTGTTGCACCAGCAATGAGATGGATCCCTTTTTTTTTACAAGGTAAAAGTACCATGAGATGGATCTCTTTTCCAGTGTAAATGAAATGTGTTTACTATGTTGCACTCCATTCTTGGCTATGTTGCTTGGAACCTTCAAAAATGACTGGCCAGGAGCGTGTCGGATACTCCAAAGGTTATGTTTCTTTGGAGGATCCGAGCTACATAGATTCTAGGTCATTCCACACTAGTGAGAGAGTAGTAAGTCAATGAGGCAAAACTCAAAAGTGCTTCCCCATCAAAGGCAGTGCAAGGGTGATAAACCAGATGTTAAGTTTTACTTATCAAAATTATTCCACTTCTCTGTCAAAAAGAAAAGTATGGGTAATTAGCATTTACAAACCTGAGCACGGAATTAGGGTGATCACTGCTGTCAAGATTATCATAATCTTCTGAATCTGGGAATGAAAAGTCCACACACGAAAGTCCATTGGAAGAAGTAACACCCTCAGCATATAAGATATCCACGTCTGAAGGTTCATAGTCTGTTTTTAAAATATCAACTGCCTGAAATAGGAAAACAATAGATGCAGAGATATTTAGCAACAAAATGAAAGATCCTTCCCATCATCTGTAGGAATCAACAAGGAACTCGCAGTTGCATAACCCAACCAAATGCTACTATGTCATCACAAGGTATATTCAAAACTTGGAACAAACAAACAATTAATTCAGTGTCAACCCAATTTAGTTCACTAAAGTACCATAAAAGATAGTAAGAAGCTATACTGCCAGAAAACTTCAAAAACACACCAATTTCAGTTGTTAGAACGGAACCTTAGGTATACACCGCTTGGGCATATTTTTTATTAATCCAAAACAAAGAAGCTTCGCCTTTTTATTAGGCATACATCTCTCGCGGCAGAAATAAATTCAGCTCACCAGACCCTAATAGTTTGGACAGCAAAGGTGGAGCACAAATGTGAAAATTGAAATGAAGGAGTTGAAATAGCTGTAGACTTTGACCCATAAAAAGAAGAATCTAAGACGCAACCCGCACATTCTTCAACCTTCAAATATCGATTGCAAGCAATTATGCATAAATGTGACGTTATCAACCTGTGCAAATTGACCACGCGAAATTTTCTTACCCGCTCTAGGAAATAACAAGACATGTCATGAAGCATTTCCAGTTCACTTCTTCGCTTATAAGTTGCCTGGATGGCTGCATCATTCCACAACTCCTCAATTAAAGGAGCATACTCCCGTGTTGCAGCTGGGAAAACGGCTTCTAGATTACCCGTGGCCATTATTTTGAGAAGCCAATCTGAGAATGCTTTCAGTCTAGGAGGTATGGAATATACTGTTTTCTTTTCAATCCCAGTCTTATCACCTGATATCATAAGCTACAATTGTTACTTAAGAGGTGTATTGAAAGAAATTCAGGTTCACCAAGTAGGCTGAGGGGAAATAAACATGATGGAATGCACATGGTTATTTTTATGGAACGAATTAAAATGAGGAGCCCAAAGTTTGTAAGACCACATGACTATGTTTATGGAATCAATTAAAATGAGGAGCCCAGAGTTTGTAATACCTGTCATTCCAGAGTCACAAGACGAAGAACCCTCTCGCAATTCATGCAAACTCTCTTCCTCAAAGCGCTCACGGCCCTCAAGCAACACTCCAATGTATCCATACACATTACTTTGGATCAACAGTTTGATGTGTTCTCTCTCATCCTCCGAGAAAGGAACATCCTTGTAAAGAATTTTTGCCTAATTTACCAATCAATAATATTAGAAGCCAAATTAAACAAAGATAATCTGAGAGGGAAAAAACTCAAGGTGCATAATAAGGCTAAATGGGAACTAGCAACTTAAATTGCTAAAAAAAAAATACAAGCAAGCAAGAAAAGGGGGGGAATCAATTTGTAGAGCTGCCCAAATATAAATATTTCCTAATACAAAATGTGCCTTATAAGGAACAAAAGCAAGTAATGATACTTCCATTAACACTAAAATCAGCAACATGTGTGAAGTAGATAGGAGCCTCAATCAGAAAGCCAAAGGCTGAATAAAAAATATAACTAGATGGAACAGACAACCCACAAAACAATTAGGCATCACTTTAGAAATTTGAGGTACCATAACAAACACTCACTGCCCCAGAAACACAAAATTTAACCAGTTCTTCACCTCTGTGGCTCAACATCTTTGTAATATATAATTTTTCAATATCTTTTAACATCCTACTACCTCATTCCTTCCAATCTATCCAGTAAATATTTTTTAAGATCATAATAAAGGCAAGTCGGGTGCTGCTGAAGTGATTCTTCTTATCAGTCAGGTCAACAGTATAAATAAAGCATCATAAGCCTTTACAAAGAGAAAACTTTAGGTAAGACAACATTACAGTAGACCACACAAATATCTAAGTTATACTTAAAAAAAAAAGACCAATAGCATCTAATTGCTCCCAGACAGAATACAAATGCAACAATGTATAATAATAAGTCAAAACCAGTTTCCTCAAAGAAGTAGGCATAGATACGCAACTATATGATGAGGAAATTACTGCATGTCCACAATACTTGGAACAAGAATACCAAGAAAACAGAAGTTAAGGAAATTTTCCGCTTTTTTTTTTTTTTTATAACCGAGAAA